GACCTTCTCGGTTACTTCCCAACATACATGAGGTATGCTCACTGTGATCATGGTCAAGTGTGAAAAGCGTCTGTGTCTAACCAAATATAGGCCTCCCTATTCAGCTTGTGATGCTACATGCGAGGGCTATCTCAATGACTTGGGTTACCACATCACCTACTTCAACCTCGATACCGAGGGCTATCTTCATGACAGCGCCGACCTCATCCAAGATTCCAAAGACATCTGGGATGAAAACGTGGAGGGCAAGGACGTCGCCACCACCAAGTGGCTTCAAATCGAGCACGATCCCGTCTATCAGAGCGTCTATAACCTCACTGACCACATGCTCGAGTCCCTCTTCCGCAACGGATTCAAGTCTGTCACCGTCGGTGAATGTCTCGACGACCCCCAAGAGAATTGGTACCGCTCCGTCGGCGATGCCCCGCCATCCACCGGCACCGCCACTCGCGTAGCCACAGGGACTGCCACATCTTCCAGCGTCGCCGCCCCTACCGGCACTCTTCCCGCTTCCACCAACGGCCGCTGTGGAGCCAACTTTGGCAGCACAACCTGCTTCACCGAGCCCGGTGCAACCTGCTGCTCATCCGCCGGCTGGTGTGGCAACACGGCCGACCACTGCGGTGCAGCATGCCAGCCTCTATACGGCAACTGCCAGATCTCCGGGGCATCGAGCTCTCCCGCCCCTGTCAGTTCCGCGTCGTCGTCTGCAGCCGTACCCTCGCCGTCCGTAACCAGCTCCGCGCCCGCGGCCACTGGTACCGCGACATCTCCGCCTCTTAGTACCAATGGGCGTTGTGGTACCACGCAGGGCGGCACCACTTGCATCAGCGAACCTGACGCGACGTGCTGTTCGCAGTATGGATGGTGCGGTGCCACGACAGACCACTGTGGTAGTGGTTGCCAGGCTGGTTTCGGTACTTGCGGTACATCGAACTGATGATAGTCAAGTATGCGTGGAGGCCTCCTGATTCGTCCGTTGATCTTGAAACTTTCGACTTCTCGAGTCACCTCTGCTCTTTGAGCAGAGGAAAAATCTTTAGTGTGTAATCTGATAATGAGACCGCTGAGCTATCAGCGAACTCTCCGCGTACTTATTGGCGTTTAGGCTTAGGTGGAAATCAAAAGGGTATCATGGGCGCTTGATAATATAATTGTAATGATCAGGATCCTGTGCCAGTTGAATGAAACAAAGGCAACATCACCGTGGGACTCAAGCACCCAGTGTTCGTGATCTACTCGGGAGTATGGCGGCTTGCATGTTCGAGGCAGTATTTCTCCCAGCTGTGACCACGTATCTTAGGCCTTGAAACCGTGTAGTGTGCTAATATGAGATTACAGCGTAAACTTCTGCTTTGCCATGGACTAATACAAAGCCAAACGGCTCAAACTCCTTCTAGTATACCTCTCGACTGTTCTCCGCAGTCGACTGTATCGATGCGAAAGCTTTTTGTGGACTCTGACCGCTGCGCTGGCGGGCTTACTATTCTCGAGCGTGACATCATGAGTAGAGATCAACTGCTCAGTGCACGAGTCTTGACTCGGAATCTGGGGTCTGGACCGTCCACAAACTTCTGCTGCCCGCGGCAAAAACTTCCGAAAGATGGAGGCCGGGCCGGTGTGGGTCCACCGCGGATCCTTCGGAGTACCGTGTTGCCCGGTTGCCCGGAGAGACTGAAAGGCTACATAGAAGGCAGTAGTCGGAAATGCCACGCAGACAAGCCAGATGGATTTTCGAAGTTTCTGGGAGTCTTTGTTCTAAATAGTGAGTTCATCTGAATTTAGTAATAGCTCAGAAAAGAATAGAAAACTTCGTAGGGTCTACGGCAGCTTGGCCACGTTTCATGTGATAGCCGAGACCTCCGCTGGTGGCCTTGGCGTGCCTCTCGGCTACAAGAGCCGGCGGCATCGTGTTCTTTCACCCACATTCGACGGAACTAAAAGATGTTGGTTATTCTCGTATTCAACTCTCTTTCGATCCAACTAGGAGATGAACACGCGAGCAGCGGGTGCTACACCTTGGCAGGCACACTTACTAACGTTCAGTTGACAAGCGGATGAAACAGCCGGCGGCGAACACCTTCATCCAATTTGAACTGTTTTTCACGAGTCAGTAGTTGCCTATCAGAGCTGACAAAATAGGGCAGGTCGGCTCGCACCCAAGATTTTCAAGCAACCGCGAAGCGAACCGATGGCACCGACTAGATGTCGCCAGGCCAAAGGCCGCCCTGTTGGGACCACTTCATTTCGATCTCTATCGACAGTGCCCCTGGGACCTGGGAGTTGGGCGGTCAGAGGGGCATGCACAGCCGTTAGAACTGGGTGCTTACTTGGCATTCTATGATTCCCCTCTTGGCCCTGGTTTTGGCATGATTAAAAATTATAGCCTGGACTTTGAGCTGACAGAATATGGGTCCTTCTTGGAAGGTCATGCCTGACTGTGATCATGGCTGAGAAGTATCATATCCTATTCAGAGTGTAGCTGAGGTTTGTCAGCGGTTAGTTTCGATATATGCTTTCCGACCATACTGCATACGGCTTCTAGAACCAAAGATTAGCTAAATACTAGGTATCGTCAGCGTCAAGAAGGAGCAGGAAAGACATCGCTATTTCCACCTTGCCGCTGACAGAAAAAGTGATTAATCGCCGTGTCAGGCGCCATTGACACTTCCTTGAGTGGCACTCATTCATATTCGAATCCATCGTACGTTACATCTGGGTTCATGAGAACTCAAAGCTCCTTAGGCTGTAAGCGAGCTGGGCGAGAAGAAGCATCCTCCTTCAATCAAAGCCAAACCAATCCTATCTTTAGACTGGACGACTCCATTTCATGCCACTTGCAGGGCTGTGTTGATGGAAGTTGGAACGAACCGGCTAAAGACTTGGCGAGACCGTCTCCGCACCGGCCTTACAAGGAGACTCAAATAAACTACTTCGCTTTCCTGGGATGCAGAAAAGATCCGTAGGGCTGTTAAGCGGTGTACAAGAAAACACAGTGGGCAGCCCTTGTTTCAAAACGTACCTGTTGCCCATTGTCGTTAATGCTTCGGCGTCTTAAGAAGCGCATCGATATAGCAGCCGGTGGGTAGTTCCAGGTTAAGGGTCCACTGAGCACGAGTCGGGCGGCACGTGGAGAACCACACCAACTTACAACCCAATTCATGCATGACTGGAAGATGACTGATCAGTCTTCAGCTCAGGAGCAGGTCGAACTTGTTCTCAGGTATCAGAAAGATGCCTTTTCGAGTGTATAAGATCTCAGGGTCAGCTGTAGTGAGAAGAACAGGTTTGCTGCACTCATCAAACTCATCTATACACTCTCTCGACTCGCTCTAGCTTACCAGGGCTCATTCCTTTGCCCTTTACATTCTTTATTTTTTCTTTGAAATCTACATCTTCTCTGTGTGTCACTACGAGTGTTTCTCGAAGAAGTTTTCATAATGAGAGCAAATCAACTCCTTCTGGCCTTGGCCTCCACTGGCGCTATCGCTACCCCCGTTCCACAAGATACCGGTTCTGCAGACTGCAAGACTGAGGCTCTCAACCAGGACACATGGAAGAAGCTCGAAATCGAGAAGTTCCTTGCTGAATGGACGACCTTCAACGTCAGCAAGGTAGAACATAACGCTGTCCAAAACTTTGCCAATTCCTTCGGCGCACCCAACTTCTTCTGGTGAGTCTCAACCCATGACGTTGTCTGCAAAATGTGGACACTAATACCCAGGATAGCGGCCTCGATAGCTTCTGTAATGCCGGCCAACCTTGTTCTCCGGTCAAATTGCCCGGATGGTACGCTCTCGTTGCCGTTCAGAACTGGAATAGCTACATGAACTCTCTCAACACTGCCATCACCTTCGCCTCGAGCATCTTGAGCCTCACCCTCCCGGGCATCGTCCAAGACTTCTACCCGAACCCCAAGGACGATATCACAGACCTCAAGACCATGACCCGCGTCTTTGCTGGCGTGCTATCCATTATCCCCTTCACGGGTCCCCTCAGCACCGTTGCCGGCGCCATCGGCAGCACCTCCAGCTTCGTCTCCACCAATCTCAAAGCCCCTGAGCCCACCAACCTCTTTCTCTCTTGGAGCAATGTTGCCACTTCCCTAGGCAAGGTCGTTCAAAATTGGCAGTCTGCCGTTTCGTCCAGCTTCCAGACCACCATCGACGCACAAGTCAACGTCACGGGGGGTATTTTCCAGATCATCCGCGATGGAAAGTTCCTTGGAACCAGCCGCAATATCACCCAGGGTGACATGCAGAAGGAGATGACGCGCAGTTTGGAACTCTACACGATTGGCCTTGCCCTGCAAGCCCAGAAGGTCTTTGTCCTGCGCTCGCAGCCATTTGCCGAAAAGTGCACAGAGTATACCGAAGCTGAGCTCTGTTCGCAAGATCCCGATGGCCGCTGGCGTCAGTACATTCTCATCCAGCGCTCGGATCACAAGAACTCTATTGGGCGCAAGGATCTTATGAAACTCTTGACTGAGAAGTATCAGTTGAAAAAAGAGACTGTCACCAAGGAAGTGGCTGAATGCGTTGATGCTGCTGGAGGGAAGCAGTTGACGTATCCCTTTGGAGACATCCTGCCTGTTGACAGCACCACAAAATGCATTTTCAACTTGCAGGTTTGTACCTCACCACCAGGTGCGAGGGAGGGCATCATCACAACGTGTGAGGGACTTGGATTGGATGTTTAGGGTCTCCGTAGTCTCTGTATTAGCATAGTGTTTCTTTGAAGAATGTATTGGTTGATACCCTCAAATTTGATCTATAAGTACTTTGCTGCTAGTGTGAATACTGTTCTCTCTCAGACTCTGAAGTGCAAGGCAACTCAGCTTGGTACTGGTATGAGAATACTACAGTATATATGTCAAGAAATTCAGATTTGCGCTTCTTAGATTTGGTCATATGTGAGCTATTGAGAGTGACCTATCGAGAAAAACTCCGTATATCCTCGGTGCTACTTATTCCAGATTACAATTTCCAGTCAGCAGACGCTTAAAAGATTTCGATCAGAGGCTGCAGAGCACTGAATGAGTCCTTGACTGGTGCATTCTGTCCGCGCGTCTGGATGAAGACAGTGAGCTTGCTATGGATGTCCTCCTTAGTCTCAGCTCCAATTGCCCTCATCAGATCCGCGCCAAAAGGGATGTAAGTATACGTCTCAAGCTTGTTCTTCTGACAGTTATTGCAATTTGCGAGAACCCATCGACTGAGGATTGCGTCGCTGTCAATCTCAATCTCACGACCGTCGGCAAGCTTGGCAGAGGTACGGATGACAAACGATCCCTCATGGAACATGGTGCTGATGCCACCGACGCGGGCGACAGCGACAAGTGGAAGCTCAGGGTCGCCCAGAACGGGCCCACTGGTCAGAAGGTCAAGGGAACCCTCGCCATACATGTATCCCAACTGATTGATGTCGGTGATGTCGTCTGAAGTGTAGAACACAGGGTCGCTGATGCATCCGGACTTTAAGAAAGGTGCAAGAGGACTGCTCATCTCCAACTTGCTTCCCGGAGAGAACAGGGCTTCCTGCGCTGAGTGTTCCCGCTGTGATGTTGGGCTTCACTAACAGGCTACCCGGCTTGGTAAGGCGGTGCTTGACTTGCCATGTCCAGAAGACATAGTCAATGAAGGCATGGTGAAGGAAGAAGATGGGGTCGAAGCTAGCGGTTTCGTTCTCTCCCATGTCACCATGGAAATCCTCAACAGGTTTAGCGTTCTCTTCTCCATCTTGATAGAAACCTCCAATGGCAAGATGAACAGCGTTGTGTGGGTCTTCAAGAGAAGTATGGAACTTGCTCTCCAGTGAGCCTTTCGTATTATGAAGCCACTCGCCCCTGGAAGCCTTGTTCGAGAATAGCGTGTAGTTGGGGGCACCAAGACTGGCCTTGTATCTCGAGACGATGGAGACAGTATCCGGGATTGACGTTAGCGACGCCTTGCCGTCAATCTGGATCTTTCCGCTCAGCCAAGCTGCAATATTGCCGTTGAGAATTCTGGCAACCGAAGCGGGGTCTTTTCCGTCCAAGCTAGTGACACCCGCAAGCGGGTAACGAGCCGTCTGTGATCCCGTTGATTTGCTGTAACGCTGGGCATCTGATGGCTTCCCGTGGTTGTCTGCAACTCCCTTCTGAAACTTGTAGGAGTAGAGTGGGTTCGTATTATCCCCATCAAGGTCGAAAGTCGGGGTCGTCGAGATCCAAGGGAGGGGAGTGTTCTGGTCGAAGGGCCGGCACTCGTCCAGGAATGGCAGGGCTAGACTTGGAGCATCGGGAACAGCCCGACGCATGGCGTCTTCAAGCCGAAGGGGGTATGCTCGATGCCAAGTGGGGAACAATACTGTCTGTCGGATTGAAAGTCCAATTCGGCCGCGGCGTACGGCCGACTGCGCAAGGGCCAATTAGGGGCCCTATTTACGATTATCGCAGCCTGCCCAACCTACGGTTGGAACCTCCCTTCTACACCTACGCAGCAGAATATATTCATAGTCATTTGACCTACTTCGTCAAACCACGGTTCGAACCAATCGACCAATATCCCTGTGATAGGGATACCAACACTGTCTGATGTGGCAGTAACCTCTCTGCCAATCGTCGTAAATCGATCCGTCGGGATAAGGATTCTCCTTTATCCATGGCTCTCCATGATATCCAGCGATAGTGAAGAAGGAGTCTTCGTTACTTGGATCAAGTTGCTGAAGCCTACGGAAGGCTCTGACGATGTTCTCTAGGGTATTGCGATCCTCGCCAGACGTGTAATGTTCGCACACATCTTGGAGAGAAGGACGGACTCTAAACATTGTGAGATACGAAATCGGTGATCTAATAGAGATGGTCAGGGTTATTTGTGGATGATACTGCGTGCTCTGATAGCAGTGGAGCTAGTATCAAGGGAACCTCGGCGACTTTATACCGCTGAAGTTGCGTCAAGATCGATATCGCTGTCTCCAAAAGACGAGAGATGTAATAGTAGCCGCACCTTTTCTCATTCTCTAGGCTCCAATGCGGGGACTAGATCTCGATGAACCTCACGAATAGAGACATGCCAGATTACGTAGCCGCCAATGAGATCCTCGATGCGGTATGTTGAAACGCTAGTGATCGTCCAGGTGGTTGAATGCGCACTCTTGTCTCACTTTGCTCAGACTACTGAGCCATAAGATAGAAACGACTTACGCCAGAAGAAGCCTTATTTTTCTTGAGCGAAGTTGAAACTATCACAACGACTCTTTACATGTGATGGTGTGTCGATCAGTCACGGTCCACAGATGCAAGCTTCCGGTCCAGGGGCGTCGAGTGCAACGTGAACTGTTACCAAAGAGAACCGGCCGGTTACTACAGGTAGGAAGAATGCAGAAAGCATGGTCTCGTGTATCATGCCGATCACACCCTTTAGATCCGGCTCTCGTAGTTCGCACATCAATATCTTTGCCAGGAAGCAAGAATTGAACGCGACTGGAACAAACTTGACGATGTAAGCCGAGTCTCGGAATGGCAGAATGATTCGACGAACAGAAGATCGCCACAGATCGACCCCAATATCGACATAATATGCCGAGGCCACTGCGGCAGGTACTTGAGCTTCATTCAACAAAGTGCGAAGAGAATATCAGCATCTCCAACTACCTTAAGTACGTCGCTACTGTCTCAAGGTCACAGGCTTCTGACCTATCATCGAAGTTGATTAGAAACAAAAAGTAAGGATCAGCATCGATTTGGTTCAATGGTAATTCGAATATCACGTTCACAGACATGCCGGAGTTGCGCGCACATATAGCAAAGTGACCACCCGTGTCGTATCGCACCGTTTTCGTGCGGCTAGAAAGCTGTTTCCCTGGACTGTTCCCATCAGAGACCTCATACCGGCAATATTCGTAGCAGAAGCGGGGAAGTAGACGAGACAATGACGTAAGTTGACCTGACATGGATACAATCCATTGTCTTAATCGATTCCCTAAGCTACCTTAGTGTAATTCAGGCCAGTCAGTAATCGAGGAGCTACTTCCACGTAATTAGATGCTAGTTCTGGATTCTAATCACGCAATTCTGGAGACAAGGTCATGGATCTAAATTCGATGACGGTTCCGAAGTCCATGTTGTTATTCTCAAGTGATGAGAGCAGCACTTACGAAATTGAATCCGTGACAGAAAAGCGCTCGAAAGAAATCTCGATTGTTTGGCAATTATCAAGCTAGTATTTTGGGGGACAATAGTGCCCAAGGTTGACAGTGGCACTTCAATGTCTAGGTAAAGTAGGGTCATGAGGGCTACTCTTCACAAGATTGGTAGGCACGTGGGAATTGTAAGCATCCAGTCGCCATTGGCATACACGGCGAGGTAAGTATTCTGCAGCCTTTAAGTCATCTATAATGCATCGAAATAATTAAAAGTTTTGTGGCCCCTAAATGATTGCGTAGGGTTGGATCAACGCAATGTCTCTAGATACAACGTATGCTCACGCCACATAAGCCTCTCTTCTCTCGGGTAAATTGTAATAAGTAGTATTCTAAATCTAATCCCATTTAGCAGTAAGCTTCGCCACAAGAAATGAAAACCATCAAACTCCGCACTCCTGTATCGTCTAACATGCTAGAGCCTTGGAAGCCTTTAGAGAGCGGCTTGAATGTCCTTCTTCAGAGGCCGCATAATAGATTGCTGATTCATGGTGGCGACCATGTTTCCTTGTTGATCCCAAAGTCGGGCTTCAGTGTAAGTTCGGCCGTCGTTGCCAGTGATAGTCTTTATCTCTCTAAGGTGCCAGTTGTCCATGTTGATTTCTCCAGTGAAGAACCTCAACGCAAAGTCTAGTGAGGAGCAAGGGCCGGCGTCATCCAGGAACTTGCTGCTGTGGGTCAGGGGGATGAAGGACAGAGCTGCGTCCAGAATGAACCCCAGTGCAGAGAACCGATCTTGGAGTCGCTCCAGGGAATGGCGGCAGCGGAACCAATCAGCTGATGTCTTGGATGTCAAGTCGAGACTTTCCTGGGGCGTCTTGACAGTCTTGGCCATGCCGTAGAGGTTGTTCGGTGCAACTGTCTCCGGACAGCCGCGGGTCTCGAAGAAGCGGTTGTTGAAACCAAAGGTAGCCAGGTACAGATTCCCCAGCTTTTCTGTCACGACGCCCCTCCGCACCTTATCTTCAGTGGCCTCCTGCGTTGTAAGACACTTCTCAGGCGGTGAGTAGCTCATTGATGGCGGCGCAGAGTACACGAGAAGAGAAGCCTCTTCTTTCACTTGGAAATCGGCTAGCATGATCATGCAGAGCCTGGATTTGCCATCGTCCTGGTCTTGGCTGATCTCGACCAATCTTGTAGCGAATGTTCTCGTATCGCGGACTCGTCGGACGGCACATTTGAGCTTGCGGTCTGTCAACGCCGGGCCTAGGTAGTTGCCCGTCGCCGAATAGAGCAGGTACTTGGGTGATACAGTGCTGCATGCCGCTTGAACGCCGATACTGATGGTACAACCCCCGTAGGCAATATTTGCCTTGTTTCCCATGCGGGCGGGATCGACGCGACTGGTGAAATGGTCTGATCCCAGGTCGTCTACCGCAACTTGCTCCTGCATTGTGCTGGCCATAGAACCGTGTAACATGTTGAGTAATTCGGCCTGAGCTGTCATATGGTAGATCCTTGCTGTGGTTCGCACAAAGTTTGGACGGAAATACGACGCTGGTTTTGTTGATAAGACGTTCAGTAATCAAGCGATGTCGGCTCTGAGTTTATGTCCTTACGTTGTCTAGATCGTTGCCGCCTAGTCGCGTTGGCGCGCCGCCTCGGCGCCTCCAACAGGTTGGGGAATTGGGGGGCCGCTCACAACCGAGGTTGGCGTTTGAGGAATGTGAAGGTGGGGCAGGCCGGCCATGCTTGCGCTAACAGGTGAATTAGCAGTCATTGCCATGTTGCCTTTATGAACATGGATTCCAGAAGAGTTGATACAATCAGCACATAATATGCATGTAGGCTGTCAAGATTCGAACCCTTGTTGTCTCTTTTGTGAATATACTTACTTCCCCTGGAGACCCTGTCCTCATGCCAATACAATAATTGAACTCACCACCTAGAACCTTGGACCTTGGTGCTACACGTGTTGGTCTCCAAACTGATTTCCGATTTGGGTTTGGTTGGTCCTTGGAAGGTTTGTGATGCAATTGCATGGGCCGGGAGCTTGTCTACACCTCGGCTGTAAGTGGGGCCGAGGAGGTTGTGTCCGTGACCTCGGACTTTGAATTGCCTTCAACATTTTGTGGCTGGATTTTTGTTATTTGATATGTCTAATTACATGTACTATATTTTCCTTGGAAGCCTGACCCGGTCAAGGTCGATCTTTTGCGCCTGTAAAGCCGGGAAAAAAGGACCACATACGATCAATCCGCGACCATTCATTTTGTGCGGTGCAACCTCAGTTGGGGCACCTATTGTTGCTAGTGACAAGAATGAGGATGAGAGGGTATAAAAGCTTACGCTTCTCGTGTATTATATTCGGGGGTAACGAGCATTACCTACCGTGATAGATTTCAGGTCTCCAGATAGCATGTTCCTGTCGCAGCGCTACACTTGGCGCTACCCAATGTGACTGTATCGTACTGCAATGCGAGAGCTCGACTCTTCGGGCATATGTGTATGACCCATCATTGGGCCCTTCTTTTCCAGGAACAAGCCACATTATACTATCGATGTCTTCCACCTGATCCTTCGCTCTGCGATAACCTCGTCTATAACCTCGTCTGAGGGTAAGAAGCCATAGCTTGTTTCCGTCGAACTAAGGCACGTAGAGCCATGGCAAGAGCACCCTCTTAGTATATATCAATGGCATCTTTTCTTCTTCACAGGCACCAACGACATGACCAATATCTTGGGACGGAAGTGCACCAGGTGATCAGCCGTCAGGTTGTGTAAAGACCCCGGCCTAAAACACGTCGGAATAGTGTGAGCTATGAGAGTCTACTGAGAGAAAGCATTATTTGTGTGCAGCAAACTCCGAAACACTGTCAATTACTCTAGAGCAGAGTTGTTTTCAATTCTTAGGAATCAACAGACGTTACTACAGTTTGATGCTAGGGGTTAAAGTGTAGAGTTAGGAACTCATGAGGTCTTAATTCTAGACTAAATTGTTTATTCAAGCTTTTTGAAAGGCAGAGAACGCAAGCTTTCTACAAAATTTTGATCTTGTTCCTTGATTCGAGTGTGATTGCGTGGCAGTCGGCCTGCGAAACAAAGTCACGCTTCGAGTTGAAACTTATAAATGTAACCGGACATCAAATCAAGTTTAGTAGTTTGGTGCATTTATGTAACGTTCTCAGCCGTGGGTATCTCGTATTTTAGTCATTACAGACTTTGTATAACTATTAATTATTTACAGGGTGGTTTCATTATCTAAGACGAACGGCAGGCAAAGGGCTTGTGAGCGCTTCCAGAGCTTGTCTCGTCGATCTTTTTTGTGTTAGTACATTGGACGTACGGTACAGTGAAGTTGTTGAACTTACAATATCAACGATAGTTGAGTAGGTGCCGGCAACCAATGTGACAGCTCCGACGATGAACGCCAAGATGCTGCCAAGACTGATGAGGATGTTCTCGCGCGCGAACCACTTGCCCTTGCAGAGAAGGGTGAACCACATGATGGCAGGAATGTAAAAGGAGAATCCGGAAACAAACAGCGCCGAAGCCAACGAGAGCAGGTCGGAGAAGATGGGAATAGCCTCAGCAATCACCCACGCAATAATGGTGAACACGACAACAAGGACGATCCAGCTGGCCCAACCCATGGGAGTGTTAATGTACTTCAAGTGAGAGTTCTTGTACATGCGGCCGTGAATGTATCGCAGGGCGACAGTCGAGTTGATAGAACCGGAGATGAAAATGACTGGAATAGCGACTCCAAAGGCGATCTTCGAGATAAGAGGCCCGGCAGAGAGGAGGGCAGGGGATTGGACCGAAGGACCTATGAAGGCGTAGCAAAGAGCGCCAGTAAGGGTATAAATGGCGATCTGAATGAAGCCAGAGGCCCAGATAGACTTCATGTAGTCAGTAGGCGTATGCATCTCGTCCATGAAAGAGAATTGACCGATGGCGAAACTGAAGGCGAAAATGATGTTGCTCACGGCAACAAAGGCCTCAGAGAAGGTCACACCCTCCCTGGGCCAAGCAGACCACTCGATGCCGGAAAGGCCGCCGGGGCCGCTGTTGGCCTGAATGCCGGTGGCGATGACTGTGATTCCGATGGCAGCCAGAATGGAGACGAAGTCGATGTAACCGAGGATAGCGACCTCGGTGAATGAGGGCGGGATAGCAAGAATCAGGAGAATGATGGCTGACACGGCCGAGAAGACGATGGAGCAGACGTGACCGCCGTTGATATCGACGAGTGCAATGCTGCCAGTCAAGGCGTGAGAACCAACAACCATGACGAGTTCAAGAACAAGCGCAGCTCCGAAGATCTCGTATCCAATGCGTCCGTAGCGACCAAAGAGAAGTCTTCCGGCTTCCGCGTAGTTGGCGACGTGTGGGTGGGCCAGCTTGACCTGACCAACGATGTAGCTGGTGAAAATCGAGAGCATGCCAATGGTAATGGTAAGGAAAACGCCGGGGAACATTCCGAGGGTGTGGTAGGCGGAAGGCAAGCTGAGAGCACCAAGGGCAACGGCCTCGACAATGGTGACGATTGCCAAGCGCTTCCAGCCCAGACGGTGGAAGTGAGCGCTACCCTGGGCAGCGATTTGCTTGAGGCGATCGTTGTTCATCTCGTCGCTCGTCTCGCCGAGCATGGTGTTGTCGTTCATCTCGGGCCAAGGGTTAGGGGGCTGAACCATCTCGGCATCAGGTCCGTCCTCCTTGTGCTTGGAGGACTTGTTGTTGCCGTGGTCGGCCGTGTGGGAGATGGCGTCCGTCATGATGGGAGAAGACGTGTTTCAACCGCGGCGAAGTTGAAGACGATTGGTGGACGACAAGAGGCAGTCCGAGGGGAGGTCGTTGAAGTGATGGGATGGAAGAAGCCAACGGAGAAAGGAGGGCTCGAGGGGCAATAAAGGCACGACGCGTCTGACGTTCCTGACTTTTAAAGATCAACGTACAGGCGCGAGTCAGATGGATTCAGGGTCCACATGGTGGTAGACGGACTGGACTCATCCTTGACAGAGGTTGTCGTCAGTTCGGTAGCCCGGTGAAAGCCGGGCCACCTCCACAGAATGATCTCGCCCCCATGGGCAGGACAGATAACAGATCGCCCTGCAATACGGGGAATGCACTCCTGAGTTGATAAGATCTAATTGTTTTGTGTCACTGCTGTCGAATTGCCCCGGAAACTCTGGATTACGAAGTCCCTGAGTGGGCGTTCTTCGGCCTGTTCTTGACACTGACATTGCGGAGGGCGCAACGAAGAAGTTTTGATGTCGTAAAAGAAGCTTTCCATGGCATGTTGGAGCCGCGCTAAGAGACCCGCTCGGCGGTTCTCGATGGAGCCTTTCTCGATTCAGAAACACAAGCGAGGAGCTTTTAGGTAAAAGATGGAGACAGTTGCGGCTCCCGCGAGATTCAGATGAGTGCAAGAATTTTCCTACAGCAAAGCCGAGTAAAAACCGCCGCTAACCACCGCGTCAACATGACTTCGCCGTCAAGTCTTTTGCCTGCCACGGAGCCTGTCCGGAGGTCCAAACGGGGCCGTATTACGTCCCTGAAATCTCTCTATTGGGCGTACTCGTCGGTTTGTACGTTTTTATTCAAGGGCTGGACTTGTTAAAAAGTGGACATTGTCGCCTTTACGATGTGCCAAGTGACATACAAATTTGCTCACCAGTCAACAGAGATAAGGACTTGTGATTTGTTATGGTAAAGAGCTGTTGAACGACAGCTACAATGTAGAATCCCGCTGAGCTGCTCCCGAGGCACAACATCAACATGCGAATTCATGTCTGATGTCTCGACCCTTGCGCATATCTCTTCACCTCCCATTCGTATGATCGTGTTGAAGGGCAACGGCTGCAGGTACTTAACCCGCTTTGGCCATGGCGCGAAAATTTCTCCGATCTTGGTTCCTGCATCTCGGGTTTAGAAGGCGGGCTTGGTCTACCCCCCCCCCCCCCGGCCAGAGATGGGTCATCTTTTTCAAGGCGCCTCTTCAAAATCGGGGTTTGGTTACTGTTAGAGACCTCCACGTGGCGTCTACCCGGCTCTCGATCTACCAAGTTGCGTCTCGCTACAGATCAGCGGAAGTTTTCGCGCGAAGTTTATTGAGCGAGTAGAGAAGTGAACGGGAGATAGATATGCTTACCCGTGCCCTCTGTGTTTGCCTAGACCTTCACTATCATCATGTTATTCGCCAGAACTGGTATGGTCTCGAACTTTACCGCTTCAAATTTCGCGATATGTCGAAGCTTTTGGGCTAGATGTATCTTCAAAAATCTTGTACCGGGCTGTCATTTGGGATCGGCGAGCAATGAGGCTCGAGAGCCCGACTTAGTGACGACAGAGAAGAAGTAGTTGTGACAATCAATAAGGGTGATTGCCTAGAGCATCGGGGTTGTTACAAAGGCCATCTCCCTATCATTGGTTTCAAGAGAGGCCCTATGAACCAAAGTTTTAGCTACGCGACCCACCAGTTCATGTGTTCAAATGACACGGATGCTGGGTCAGGCATACACAATCGATAAACTTAGTCGCAGCCGCACCAGACTGCATGCACGCATCACCCGCAGCTGATACTCCGTACCGCATGCTGTGGATACAAGCATCGTTTTATAGCTTTCCACTGTTTCGGGTTTGAATAAGGGTAATTTTGACTTGAGGGCGTAGGTCTTCTCCATCTAGTAAATTACTTAACAGAAGTAGTTGTTCTTCTCCAAGCAAATACGAAAGAGAGGCGATGTCGAGTGCTTCGATGAGAAGCGCATGCGAAGTGCGTTTACGAGTTTGCACGTAATTAAGATTCACGACAGTGTTGAGGTAGTGCACACTCCGAGTTTTTCGGGATTCAGGCTCTAATATAACGGAATATTTAATCCGTTGATATCGTGGTCTCCCATCGAAGAACCTATTATCCAGTTTTTCGCTTATGTGATCGGTTCGCCCACTGGCAACGGTCCAGGTCTACGGAGTGGAGCAGAACTTTTTGGCCCCAACTGAAAGCAGGCGGCTTCCGCTTTTAGACTAAGGGCAACCAGAAACGTCCCCTAACAGATACTCATCTCTCCGCCTCCTGCCCGGCTCAATTATTGCTCCGGTCAACTTCAACGTCGTGGGCGGAATGTCGAACGGGATTCGGGTATCACACAATTCGTTGCTGCATTGCTAGTTGTATATAAACAAACAAGCTCTATCGCGACTTGATTTTGTTGCAAAGACACTATTTATCCGGCTTTTGGCACAATGACGTCCTCAATGTTGGCAGTTACGGCACCAAGCTTTTGCGCCCCGTCCGCATATGAGCTTTCCACGATCCCTCAGCCAGTTGTAATAGAGCCTACCGATGTGGTATTCCGTGTTCACGCAGCGAGTATCAATCCCGTAGATGTCAAGAAGGCAGCAGGAGTCTTCAAGCTTGCGGTCAAAGAGAAGTTCGTTGAGAACCCTGGTCAAGCGATGATCTTGTCAACTGATATCAATAAAACAGATTCCCATATCAAATTGGCTATGATTGCTCAGGAACCGTAACAGAAGTGGGTCAGGATGTCAAAGGCATCAAAGTTGGCGACGAGGTTTACTCGCGGTTACCGGAGGCAAGTCGAGGTATGTATACGCCCAAAAACTGCGATAGACCGACCAATGGTGTAGATGCTAAGATACTATACTTGCAGGGGCATGGAGTGAATACGCCAAATGTTCACAACATTACGTTACTCTCAAACCCAAGAATTTGTCTTTCGATGATGCAGCCTCGTTACCATTGGCAGGCATGACCGCACTACAAACTTTGCGACGATACGAGGGATCATTGTCAGGCAAGACGGTCTTCGTACCAGCTGGCTGTGAGTGAGATTCATCGAACTCTACATAGATAAATTGCTAATGATACTCTGACAAGTGAGCGGCACTGGCGCATATGCGTGTCAGATCGCCAAGAACGTCTTCAATGCCGGCAAAGTGATCACCACCGTCTCAACATCAAAGGTAGAAAAAGTACCAGAGTTGCTTGGTAAAGGCACGGTTGACCAAAGTGAGCCTCAATCGAACTGCCTAGCTACTTGAACAGAGAGTGATACCTAACCAGAATCCAGTAATCGACTACATTAAGGAAGACGTAACCCAGGTCATTCCTCGTGGATCCGTTGACTTCATCTTAGACACAACTGGAGATTCTATGTCTTTTCTTCATCTCATGACTCCGTCTACAGGTGTCATTGTCTCTATCGCTACGCAGCCCTCCGGTACTCAGCTCCAACAATCTAGCGTGATGAAGAGGCCAGATGGCCCACGTCTCCCGTGGTTTGCACGCATGGTGTTGAATATGGTTGATTCGTATCGGAAGGCACGTGCAAAACGCTGGGGTGTCAAATATGAGTACCTATTCCTCGATCCCAATGCCAAAGACTTGGAAACACTGGCTCTCTATGCAGAAAAAGGAGACGTCCTGCCTGTTGTTGGTTGTAAAGTCAACTTTAGGGATATCGATGGCGTGAGAGAGGCGTGTACAACTGTGTACAACGGGAAAGGTGGCCTTGGGAAAACGGTGTTCACTATCATCGCGAGTTGAGTTTAGTAGTTTTGGGATAGGCGATAGTTTACAGGCTTCCACGCAATCTTTTTTGAGTGATGTTTAATCTAAGCGAATGAGATGCATTGTCGGTCAACGTTCTTTTCAAGTTGTTGATAGAGAGACGTTATGAGATGAGATCTGATACCATACCATTCATGTTCGGAGAACAGGATGGAGTCGGCTATGCAAGCGTTTAGCGTCAGCAATACGGTCTAGGTCAAGAATGATGGCCAGCGAAAGGAGCACATGGTTGGAGCGATGGACACTGTAACATGACCCTGATCGGTTCGAGTCAGAGATGGGCAGTACTGCATCTATTGGGGACGTGTATGTCTAGTGAAGGTATGGGCAGAGGTTTCTACACCGCCTCTAGTGCTAGTAGTTCTGCCAATACCACATCTATTGACTCTATATGGGGTTTCCTTCCCTCACTACATAGAGTAAAGACCAGTTGATAAGAGCAACAAGCGTAATGCCCCAGAACGGCGCACCAACAAAGTTGTTGCTAAGTCCCCAGCCGAGGACAGTTCCTCCGATAGTAGGTCCAAGCATGCGAGCTGCGGCTGAAGTGCTCGATGCAACACCATGCACAGTGGCTAGTAGGGCAGGGTGCGGAGCAGAGTCGTTGACCAGCATGATCGTTGCCGGCCCTACAAACGTTCTCGACATGACTTGTGCACTCAAGATGACAGACAAAAAGGGCCACAAGAGCGGGCTCTTATTCGACAACAGGGCGAGATAGGGCAGCGAGCAGTACGCCAGCGCACTGAAGGGGAGGAATGTGCGGTAGGACTGTAGGACACCGAGCCTACTGCTGATCCAGGGAAACAAGAGGATTTGGAGGGGAAGACCGACAGCTCCAATGACTGTGTTAGCAAAGCCGACCTTCTGGGATGACAGACCCAGACCACCTGTGAATCGGAATGGAAGTTGAGCATTGGTGTTGTCTGCTTGGGGTGCTGGTAGCATAACGAACAGTATGGAGTTGAAGGCAGAAACGTGGAGAGCCGAGGAAAAGTTCTGAACCAGCGTCAAGATAACGTTGCGGGTGCAGATAGCACGCAGAGGCGCCCGGCCCTTGTCTTCCACGGGCTTGCTGGACGAAGTTTGGTCCTCAACGTCTCCGGCTTCGGCCGGCTCGTTTGCATTGCCAACGAGATGATAGTCATTGGGCGGGCTTTCCATTCTAAAGACCTTTCTGAGAAGGAAACGTCCAAGGTCCCGGCCTCGGTCTCGGCGATGGCGCCGGAGTGGATGCGTTTCGTCCAGCCCGAGGACGACTCCCAAAGCCGCAATCATCAAGATGCTTGAGCAAACAAAGTTTGTCAGAGCGTATGGGAATCGTATCATCCATTCGACTCCATCTTCACCACCGAGGAAGGATCCCGGCCCGAAGATTGAGGGTAGAGATTCAATAGGGTCGGCAAGAAATCCACCTAGAAGAGGTCCAATGATGACGCCAACGTTGAAGCACATTGGAAGTAGAAGAAAAGCTCGAGATCGGTACCTGTTCGCCTTTTAGCACTGATCACGCGACCACAACTGAAAGGGGTATCAGGTCACGCATACCTTTTGTCTTCAACAATTTCCGAAATCATGGTCCTGAGAACACCTACGTTTCCGTTCAGTGCTCCAGCTAGAACACGGAAGAACACCACAGAGGCATAGGAAGTAGATAGACCCATCCCGATCGCTGAGATACAAGTTCCCAGCAGCCCCACGAGAAGGACTCGCTTTCGACCAAAAAGAGGACTGTCAGCCACATGTCCCCATAACATGCCAGTTACACACTGGGCAGCGGCGAATGCGGCAGTGAGAAGACCGGCCTGTCTTGCAATTGCCGAGTCTGGTAGAGATGGACTGAGAAACTTCAACTGATAGAAGAGGTACGATGTAAGTGACCGCTCAGCCAGCGGTTCGGCTAGGCGGGCAAAGACGACCATGCCCAGCTGCCACTTCTTGGGCATTGACATCCAAGACACTGGTTGTTGGGGTGCTTCTGTCTCAGCCACGAGACTCAAGTCGGGAGTCTGATACGAGGGAACGGCCATATTGGAATGACTGGCTTTGAGAAGTGGTGTCTCATCATTGACAACTACGTCGTCATCTTGATGTTGGTCTCGACTGTTGCGTCTCCCTTGCGAACTTGCCTTCGAGCGAGGGCGTTTTGGGGCCGAGGAATCGTCCGGCCTCGCCATTTTTCTATTGATAAAATAAAACCACAATGAATAACGGAGAAGGTTCCAATGGCGGCAAAGAAATGCAAGCTGCAAGCTGCAAGGTGAGCTTCTAGATCAAATGTGCCTTCTGTCGTATCAATCCACGTTAGCTCCAACCCCAGCGCGCCCACACCAAGGAACGCGTGCAGGGATCAAAAGTCCCGCAAGATGCATGCACTTTTAGGTCGGCTCCCACTCACTCGATAGATCGACTTTTGTTGATTCCGAAGTGGTCCAGATGGGCGTGAAAAAGACGTTTAAAGCGTGGTTGTTTGACGGATGTTGGCCGCGTAGCAGTCTTGGCAGGCTCGCTCGCTCGAGCCGAGCGGGATAACGTCGTATCACCGAGGAACCATGCAACCTGTTTCCAAGCTGTGATTCGTCCGTTCTTCGACGTCACCTCGTTCGACCTATTGTTGAAGATGAAGAACAAGAGGAAACTATGCGTATCTAGCTCATGCAAGTTAGGTTCAGTCAGTGAGTATATGAAAGCTGCTGTTTCCCTCCGGCTTGCGACCTATTTTCCTCGGGAATCAGCGAGGTTTTATTCAGGGAACCCAGTACTCTGTGTTAGGATCTGATAAAGTCCAGTTGCTCCAGAATGTCATCCAACACCAAACTACCGCGATTTAGACTTCAAGACTTCCCTTGCCACGGCAGGGATTTTGGATCTGCATGAAATATCACTGTGAGAAATTCTGCACAAACAGTAGAACAATGCTTATTGGCGTCTTGGAGAAGATGGACCTCCACTTCTTGCGCCGCCGCTACTCACTTTGGGCAATCCCCGGGACAGATTTTTTCAGTGACAGCGCTTTGGCTTGCTTTGCCTCCTTTGTCGGCCCAAGGAGACTCATCATATTCCCAGTTTGGTGGTCCAACCTTGTCGTCACCGGGTCTAGCTCCTGCAGATTCATGAATCGAAGGGTCTCTGCAACCTTGATTTCGGCGAACTGTGGATCTAATCTGATTGATTAGATGCGCCTTCGTCGGACTAGACAAGTTCATCGCCTGCTCACCCGCACGTGGTGCCACCCAGTTACCAAGCGGGAGCGCCTGACGGACGCAGGGCCATCCACGGCTTGCGACCCTAGACGCGTAGTCGGGGTTAGGACCCTCCGTTGCTGTCCATCGGTCAATTTCGGAGTGACATTCATGTAAACCATGCTATAAGAACCAAACTTCGTCAAATATTGACATCGTCTCTCGCTCTACAGTCGACACTTTACGTTTTTCCACAGTCGGACGGTCTCAGCTGAACCTCTTCTCCTCCTCAACACCTAAGCAATGGCTGCCGAAGCAGTGCCACCCCCTCGGGATGCCGAGCAAGCTCCCGCAGACCATGTCTCTGAGACAAGTCAAAACGAGAAGCAGGGCTTTACAACCGCTGTCTCCGCGTCCCCGGATAGCGACGAAGTCTCGGTCAACAGCAGCCTCAGACCAGTTCCTTTGACATGGAAGCTGGCCTCTGTTGTGTTGGTGACTGCTATTGGATTTGGTTCTCAGTGGAGTTCCGGCCTCAGCGGTGCCATGAAGACAACGATGAAGAAGGAGATGAAGATCAACAACACGCAGTTCTCCCTTTTGGAAGCGAGCGAGGATTTTATGGTTACAGCTCTGATGCTTCTCAGCGGTGTTGTTACGGATAGGATTGGTGGCGCAGGTACGAATAATCAGAAATCTTGACACAAGCATTACTGACAGACAGCTAGGTGCCATGTTATACGGCAATTTCCTCTACTCAGCCGGCTCGATTCTTGTGGCAGCGGCAGCTCAGACCCGCTCTTACAAGTTTATGATTGCGGGCAGAGTTATCCGCTCCCTCGGAGATATTGCGACTCAAGTGGCGCAATACAAAGTCTTCTCGTCCTGGTTTGCCCCCGGCAACGGCTTTGCCTCGACTTTAGGCTTCGAGCTCGGCATTGGCAAGATTGGTGCATTTGCTGGAAAGTCGTCTGCCAATATCATCGCCAAGAAGACGGGAGATTTCGCTTGGGTATTTTGGGTTGCCGTTTTCATGAATCTCTTCACGAACGTCATGACGGGCGTGTTTTACTGGTTTACAAAGGTTGCCAATAGCAAATTCCACGGCGTCAGCGACCCTGCTACCGGCGAGAGATTGAAGGAAAAGACAAAGAAGTTCGAGTTGCGTAAGGTCCTCGAGTTACCGTGGGCCTTCTGGGCAGTCATGGGCTTCTCATTATTCGAAACGAGTACCGCCATTGTCTTCCTGCAGAACGCCACCGAGCTCGCCGAGCAGCGCTTCGGCACAAGCTCCATCACTGCCGGTTGGTATAGCGCTACGTTGCAATATGCCGGTAAGTATTTGCTCTTCCGCTTTCCCCGTGCCCTTCAGTCAGCTAACATAAGTAGGATTCTTCGTTGTTCCCCTACTGGGAGTCTTCCTTGACCTCTACGGTAACCGTATCTCAGTCTGTAAGTGTTGATCGATTCCACAAAAATGAGGTCTTGTAACTAACATAGCCCTCTAGTGGTCTTCTGTGGCATTGGAATGTTTACCTCCATGTTGCTCGTGTGCTTCGCCAATACCACCCAGGGCACTGCTGCGAGTTTCGGAGTCTTCGCTTTCGCCTACTGCTTTGGACCAGCCACCATTATTGACAGTATCCGCACGTCAATGTGGGACTCAACCGTCTTTGGTTCAGCATATGCTCTGAAGATCACGATGAACAACGCGTAATATTTCCTGCTCAAAACTTTCCCTGATGCCCGGTCCAAGCTAACATGATGCTTCTTCTTCAGGATGAACATTGTCGTCCGCGTCATTACTGGCGTCATCCAAGACAACGACAATAACTCTTACGACAAGGTGACTATTGTCTACGTCATTCTTGCTGGAATCTCGGTGGTCGTTTCTTTCCTCCTGACGTTTGCTTCCTGGAAGTCCGTCGACCTGGGACACCTTCAGTGGACACGCAAACTGCGCATTGCGCGTGGCGAGATCCTCAACGTCAGGAAGGAGAGGTTCTACGGGCAGAATGGCGAGAAGAACAGACTCATCTCCAAGAGCTGCTTTGTAGCATTGATCGTGCTTATCTTGGGAAGTTGGTGCGGATACTTCTGGGGAGTTGCGACTGGCAATAACTCTTGATGACTTGAGCAGAGGACGAAACAGGATGCGATGACTCGTAAGGGACATTCAATATCGTAGAACATGGTCAAAATGATCATGCCTAATCAATATTTAGTTGAACTAATACAATCGACGATCGCCGGTCATTCCGGTTGCTATGAAACTTACTTCCAGCGCAGCGTCATTTAGCTCAAGTAATGTGCAGATAAGCAAAATTTCTACCGCGGCGTCGATAGCATAGGCTACAGAATTGCTTTAACTCACATGGCTGTCGGTAGCGTCCGCATTTGATTCGACAGCGCCATGAAGAAGTCTTCGCCTCGCGCAACTTGCTCAACTGCTAGACAGAATCCGGCGCGGCGATAGCTTCATAAAATGGGTCCGAAGCCGTTGAAGGGATCTGGAAAGCCCGATGTTTAGCGGAGAAGAAAGCCGGGGTAAACCGGGTCAGAAGGATCGATGTAGAAGTTCATCCGCCCAACTAGATTGGCATGACCCCGGACGCGTGGAACACAGGCAGGAAAGCCTTCCACGGGACTTGTCTCTTCGGATACGATGTCGGCTTGGAAGCGAGTAGAGACGATGGATCGGTGCATAAGCTTGGAGCGACCCGGTGCTATCCTGCCCTGCGCAAGCAGCACAGCAAGCCTTGCACAGGTACCCGAACCGCATGGAGAACGATCAATCTGTCCATCAGCAAAGACGGTGACGTTTCGTTGTTTCACCTCGTCTTGCTCGTTATTGACATCGCCTTCTTCGTTGTAGAAGATCACGCCATAGAGATCGTAGGTGCCATAGTTGGCCTTGTCACCAATGAATGCTTTGATCTCTCTGCCAAGTTTGATATGGTATTGATGGCTGCCAGGCTCCACCTTTAGTCCGATCTGAGATGCATCAAGCGTAGCGTAGACTGCACCAGCAAAGGCAAGGTCGACTTTGATAGTTGCATGATGAGACGGAATCTGGACCTCCAGGTCCTTGACAAGTTGGTAACTCAACACGTTGACAAAGTCGGCATAGACAGGTATGCCCTGCTTGACGCCGACGCTGGCAACCACGCGCCCAGAAGGAACATCGATAATGACGTCGACAACTCCGTCATCCTTGGGTGCTTCGACGAGTCCCTTTGTGACAGCCCAGTATCCCAAGGCGATGGTTCCATGCCCGCATGCAGTCGAAAATCCGTCTTTATGCCAGAACATGACCCCAAAATGAGCCCCAGAGTCATCAGGCGGCGTGACAAAACCTCCGTACATGTCTGCGTGGCCGCGGGGCTCGTGGCATAGTGATTGGCGAAGCTCATCTAACGGGTGGCCAGGAGTTTTGATGACTGCGAAACGACGATCGGCTACGGTTTGGGCCTCGGGTAGATAACCGTTTGGCAGCCTGTCCACGATACGGAAAGGTTCGCCGGCAGTATGCCAGTCCTCGGACTCGACCCAAAAAGGGCACTTCTCACTAGTAGACATCGTGAATGCCAGGGCGGATGGCGACCTTGGGCAAACAGATTATTCTGGTGCTTTCGAAAAGGTAAAGACTAAACGTCAGTCTAGGTTCCTCGGTGAATCAGTTTTTTTTGGCAGGATACGTCTGAAATGAGTAGCCGAATTTCAGTGCCAGTACCCTCCGATATAGGCGTCCGCAGAATGTCACCCGGCGCAGGCTGGACAACGGCAATGCCCCGCATCGGAAGGCCGACCCGGTCCGGTCAAGATGGGGCCCGGAAGAGGGTCCCGAAAATACGAGAAATACTGAGGATTTTCGTATTGACCAATGAGCCCTTCAAGAATCATTGTAAATGCGGGGAATTGGCGATTACCTTTGCGAAGCGAGATGCCGCAAAACCACGGTATTTCATCTTCCAGATGGTAGGAAACTCCAATGGTTTGTTAGATTTTGAGAACTTTTGCGGATTGAATAATGCTCATATGAGCTGGACTGGAAGTTGACTGCGAGTGGCTTTGGTAGGACGGAGCCGAATGCGGCGGAAGTCGGGGGAAGCGGATCCGGCCTCTGCACAAGGATGTACTTGGTCAATTGAATGAACCAGCAGACTTGATAATAACTGCTACGCTGGTATCAGAATGAACAGAACAAGTTTCCTCTATCCTCAATGATAAGGCTTTTGGGACAAGTGCAAAGTCGAGGGCGGGTTGTACCTGATTGAGGCCTTCCACGATGGAGGTCTATGAAAGACTCACAATGATCCACCGTACCCTCAAGAAAACTGCCAATGCATGAATTGTAAAGTTTTCCGTTGACCAAAAGACACAGAAATCGCTCACATTTGGTATCGGGAAGAGTCTCAGGCCCCAAACTCTGAAGCCCCAGCGAGATCAGGGTGAGCCTGTGAGGGACGAATCTGGGGTTGTGACCAGGGCCGCGTCTTGGCTTCCCGATGAGGCCTAGCGCCGATCGCATATCCTGCCGGCCTCCCGATCCGCCGGGTCTGCCATTTGATAAGAAAAACACCCCGCCCCTCAACCTTCACCACCGCGGCCTCCACACCTCGCCCGGACCCAACTTCACGCAAACATCCAACATTAAAGACATTCGGCAGCCAACCAACGATGTTCCATCCATCATGCCAGACGCGTCCCACGCTTCCAATTCGTGCTGGACCTGTCGGCAGAAGCGGGCCAAGTGTGACAGACTCCTTCCGACTTGCCTCCGCTGTACCTCCTTGAAGCTTCGGTGTCAAGGATATGATCGACCGAAGAAGTTGGTGTGGACCAATAGTGTGGCCAGCCGAGGCAAGATGATGGGAAAGGCCACATACGACGCAGATCAAGAACCGAATGATGATCTTATCGCCGCAAGGCCTTGTCAGTCTGGCCGTCTCGCAGTGGGACACCCTCGGGACACTTTGCGCGAAGCACTGCCGGCATCACTTGACGTGTCATGGTCTCTCATCGATCCTGACCTGCAAGACTTGTCAGTTGATTGCCGGAAGTACATACGCTATTGTAAGCTGTAACCCAGAACGAAACCATCCCACGGTGAAGGCGCTGACAATGCTGTGTTAGTTGACATGGAAATGTCCAAGGAATGTGTCGTTTACCAGACATCCAGTAATCCTTTCTTATCCCTTATGCCGCTTATGTCCAGAAGTCATGCCTTGTCCCATGCGATGATCGCAATCTCGGCCTTTCACTACTCTCATCGGCTGGTCATCAGCCAGATGCAAATTTCCTGTGCGGAAAGAAGGCTTCTTGAAGTTGAGAATAATTCACTGTGGCATAAGTCACAGGGACGCGACTGGCAGCTGAGGCAGCCAAACTTCTCGCCCTCACTGCGTGTAGCTCTAGCTCATAAGCAAAGAGCCTTGCAATATCTCAAGATAGAAATCCAGGACGACGATGTGACAAACAACGATGCCGCAGTGGCAGCTATCGTTCTATTTGTCTGCATGGACGTGGTTGAATTTGGCAGCCGTGGATGGGAGCATCACCTGGGAGGTGCTGGTGAAATACTCCAACAGCGGAAAGCTACCCTTCAGAATCGCAGTATTGGAACCGATCATTGGCTGGAATATTTTGACACAGCCTACACGACGTAAGGGCACTTCCTGAAAGCTCTTGCGTGGATTCACTCCTAACTTTCCTCGTAGATTTGGGATCATCGGCGCAACACTGGCGCCAGCAAAGGGCTCTTTCGCTCAGCAACTCGCATCCCTTGATCCGTCTCTCCTAAGGATCTTGCGCCAGTCTGAAGATCAAACTTGGGTTGGCTGTCCTGCCGAGCTGCTGTACCTAGTTTCCGTCATCAACTCTATGCGATCACTCTCGACGTGTTCTGAGGCAGAGCAGTTGAAGGTCGATGAGCTGTGCAAAGGTCTCGACAACTTCTCGCCGTCTGGTTGGGCAGAGAATTTCCCAGATCCGGAGCACTATCAGTCGCGATCGCACCTTGCGCACGCTTACAAGGCGGCGGTCGAAGTATACGCCTCTCACATTGTAGGGCCGCTGCTCGATCAAGGGCATAATCTCTCTGACCTGTATCTCGAAGGGGTAACTCGATCCGGCATACTCCATATGCTCTCCATTTCAGCCCAGGACTTCCATGTGAAGAGCCTGGTGTGGCCGGCCTTTGTCGTTGGGGCAGAGATCCAAGCGGCCGATCTCAAGATTATGGTACGGGAAATCTTCAGGAATATCTGGATATCGTCGTGTTGCTACAATGTTAGAAATGCCATTGAGATGCTGGAAAGGATCTGGGCCCGAGACGATGATGAGAAGATGGCAAAGTCTTGGCTCAACTATCTCTGGTCACTGGAAGATAGTTGGCTATTCCTTTAGCCCAGACCAAAAGACATCTACGAAAGTCAAGGCAACACACCGGAGCCCAGGGACACAGCTTCGGACAAGGATGATACATGTACTTGGTGATAAGCAGCGATGCCAAGGTGCCGTGACAGCATGGAACGAAGCTGCAGGACGCTTATACCCGGATGGGACATGCGGGTCAAGCGCCACTCCTAAAATGTGGATCACCTGCGCCGAACTTACGTCGCTGCAACGGGGTCCGATAAGGAGGAGAGTTCCCGCCCCGGTTTGAGGCCTGCAACAACGGTGCCGCCAACATCCACACATCCACACATTACCGGACTGCGTTTATAAAACCTTTCTGTCCCCTCATCTGTGCTTGAAATCATCTCGAGTCTCTTCATTTACAACCCCTCAACTACAATGCCTATCTCCAGCATGTCAGCACCACACCCCCTCTGCCCCCTCTCGGGTGCGGAGATCAAAGCCGCAGCTCAAGTGATCCAGACTGCTTGGCCAACATCTGTTTCTCTTCGGTTCAAGGTGGTGACTCTCAGTGAACCCGCCAAGGGAGAACTGGCACCTTACCTGGACGCAAAGGACAAGGGACTGTCTGCGACTCAACCTGACCGCAGGGCTTTCCTTGCGTACTACATCCGGGGAACGGTACGACATCCAGGCTTCGCTTATTTGAGCTCCGACAAATACTGACAAGACCCATCATAGGATCTCTTCCACGAAGCGGTGGTCAAT